AACATAGCTGAATAAAAAAAAAGCAAAATAGAGACAAGGAGAGCAAAATTTAAGATGAAAAGGTAAATAAAAGTGGGGGTGGGGAAGACCATCCCAGTGTCTCCTCTGTGAATCCCAAGTGAGGTGGCAGAGCCAGATCTTTATACTTTTGAAAGACCAGGGGAGTGGGGGGTCTGCCTTGCCTCAAGGAGGGGGGAGGAGAAGGGCAGTGGGCAACAGCAGAGAAAGCATTCTTCCTGGACCTTGCCAGTTGGAATTCTTTAACTGACAAGCTGCGCAGTGTATCCCTGCCTGACCAGGTGGGATGGACTGATGTGATGGGCTAAGATGGCTCCAGAAGTAATCTGCTCCCGTGCCATGAAGAGTTTTAAGTGTCATAATCAGCACCTTGAATTGGATCTGGAAGCAAACTGTCACCCCAATGCAGCTTCACGCAGCAAAAGTGTCGCATGCACTGATCTTTGGTGCCCAAGATTGCTCATGCAGCCACATTTTTGTATCAGCTGAAATTTCCGGATACTTTTCAAGGGTAGCCTCATGTAGAGCACATTGCAATAGTCCAGAGTATAAGTGACCCAACAAGAGATGACCAGGGCGGGAGTGACCAAGAGGCAAGCTTCCCTATCCTGAAAAGGCATTACTGGTGCACAACATGAAGCTGAAGAAAAGTCCTACTGGCCATAAATGAAACATGCTTTTCAAAGAGGAGCTGTTAGTCCAAGAGGTCCCCCAAATAACAAGTGTATGGTTTGTGTTGTCAGACCATTCAGTACTGTAAAGGTAAACCATGGTTCAAAACCATGGGTTAGTGTGTTATGTGAATGTAGGCAAAAAAAAAGAAAAAAAGAAAATTGCAATAAAATCCTCTACACGTCTACTGAAGTAAATCCCACTCAGGTAGGGGCATGCAAGACTAGCTTGAAGAAAAAGGATAAGGAACCCCATAAGACAAATCATTAAATGAGGAAGAAAAAAACTTATAATCAAAGTCATCATTTTAAAAATCCCTCCTATGTCACTGCAAAAGATAGTAATATGGGGAGATCTGTAATCTATGAAGTTTTTATGTCTTGAGACAAAAACTAGACATAATTATACAAGTTGTTCATACAAGTGACAGTCACTACAGAAATTAAGGTGTATTTTTCATGACAGTGTTGCATATATTTCTTACAATATATTGATAAATTAAATTGTTAATTTCACAATTTCAGACATTTAAAAAGTCAGTGTTACATCATGCAAACCAGTTTATACTAGTGTGATTCGAGAAATAAAACGGCAAAACATAGTGCTTCTAGGAAAAAATACTTTGCACACACATACAGGTTACAATCCTACATATTTTGCTTTGGAAGAAATCTTATAGAATATAAGAGGGTTTACATTTGGATAGATCTTTGTACTGTGGTTTTTTTCCTTTCTTTCTACAGAAAAGGAGCAATGACAACTTCGGTATTTACATTTTTTTTCCCTCTGTGGGCTAGCCAGTAATTATCTAAATATAAAAAATGAGATTTGGGCTGGAAAAAAAACTATGTTTGTGGCTTGACAAAAACACAATCCCCTAGTTTCTTACTGATGGTTATCAACAACCAGCAGAAAATAGCACATTAAAAATAAAGGGTGACAAAGACAGTAAGAAATTATTAGTTATTCCACATACATCTTTTTCTTTGGGCATCAAAAATGGCTACAGCTATGGATGGGTCATTAAATGAAGTAACCCAATATGAGAACTAAAAAATATTTTTAGCTAGCAGGACTCTGGAGGTGACAAAACTCAAAAGTGGATATGTATCTTCCCTGCATCTTCATACAGTAGTAACGAAGTAGTAGCAAACATGAAATTGTCTCTTCTACGTATCCTCATGTGTGAAGGACACCTGTCCTTCTAATATAATCTTATGAAGTTTTCATTACTGGATGTGTGTGTGTGTGTGAGAGAGAGAGAGAGCGAGCCCTGGATTTGTCTATAAAATGTCCCAACTCCAGCATTTATCCTCCACACTCTGCTTGGACTTCTGGTGATCGGTTTTCCTGATTCCATCCACTTTTAAACTGGAACCTTAGAAATCCAATCTTAAACTACCACTACAAGGAGAGGAGAGTTCTGTAATCACTTGAACGTGGGGAGCGGAGAACACGTATCCGGTTGGGAGGTACCAATCTTCTCGCACAGAACCAGCTCCTTTCATGACCTGCCATCTCTACGGCGCATTTCTTCACCGTGACAGCTGGGTGACCCACGCTCCATTTAAGCCTCAAATGCTACGAAGGACGGCTGTTCTCCAACACTTCGTTTTCAATGCTCTCGCATTACCCGTCGCGAACCTCACTCTCTCACCTTTCAGAGCGCCCAGGAGCGGCTCTTTCCCACTCATCCTAGTGTGCTTTGCTCGGCTCTGCTTTCCCCAGACTCCGGGTCAGCCCAAGAGTCCCGGATTCAGGTTCCGTTCCCGCCTCCGCCCGATGGAAACTGTTCGAAAGTGACTTTTCTTCGTCCAAACACTCGGCTGCAGGCAAAACTCTGGAAGGTACCATTCTTCCAGCGAGACGGGGGGGAGGGGGAGGGAAAGCGGTCTTCGGGCCGGCCCAGTCGAATTTGCCGGGGTTTGGAAAGAGGTGAAAATAAGCTCCAAAAATTCAATGTGTATCCTCCTCCCGGATATGATGGGTGTCGTTAGACTTTCCGGGATAATTAATTCTTCTCCCTTGCCTTTCGCTTGGGTCCGGCGTTGATGTTTTGTCCCGTCGCCGGTCTCCAGGATTCGGTTGTTCAGTGAAGTCTCCTTTATACGCAGCTAAAGCTTGAGAGTGGCAAAATGTACTTACTAACCGACGTTGGCTCATTTCGAAAGCTAAAGCGAGATCCAACGTGGATCAAGTTAATCCTTAAATGGGAACCCCCACCCTCAGGAAATTTAAGGCTGTGTAAGCAGAGTCAGTTCAAGGGACTGGAGTTGCCCCTAAATCACATGGATTGAACAATGCCACCTTCTGCCAAAATGCAAGATTTAACTTTTTAGAATCATTCTGAAGGAAAAGTAGCATTGGTGCCCCTGCTCTCCCCCAAAACTTTGACAGCTAAGCCAGTGCCTTACTTGGCCTTGGTTGTTTCTCCGTGTCATGTAAAATATTTTATTTATTTTATTTGTTGGTTGTCAAACATGTACAAAATAACAAGATAAAGTATGAACATAAACAAGAACAAAGGAAATAAATACAGATAAATGGGGACAGTAAGACAGGGACTATAGGCACACTGGTGTGCTAATGCACGCCCCCTTTAAGGACCTGTTAAGAATGGGGTGAGTATGTGGGTATATGCATAATTTTGTATTTAATTTGTATTTAATTTTGTATTTATTTTGTATTGTCATGTTTATGAAGTATATATGAGAGGTGGAGACCTTTGAGAGCTGTATGCAACAAAATTTCATTTTAATGTATGCCAATTAGTGTACATTCACATTAAAGTAGAATAAGAAGTAGAGGAAACATCTTTGAAGATGGCAAGGGTAAATCTTATTTTTAAAAAACCAACAACCCTGCATAGATGTGTCCATGAGGTCAACAGAAATCAAACTTCACTTGGTATCATAATACATCTTGATGCATGTGGCTAATGCGCTTGTTAAATACCTTCCTTGTCTTTGAATGCAGCTCTTTTGAGGCCAGCTGTTTTCAATCAGTCACAAATTCTGGAAAGGAATAAGGCTTGAGAACTACAGGAAGGAGGCCACCAATAACCATTTTTAACCCCTATGAGTGCTGACTGCCACGTACACAGCATAAGTTGCCTGCCAAGTTTGGCAGGTTTTTCTTCATAGCGATAACGATTCTACAGGTGGTTAAGTAGACATCCAGCCTTACTCCTGTGTGTAATCAGATTGCTTCCTTGTTCACAAATGTTCTTTTTTCAATTGCATTTTAGAGTTGAGTCCTATACATGGGTATTTAGCATAGGAGTGTTATGGCACCTTGCTTCTCCTAAGTGTTTTATTTTCTTTTTTGCTGTTATTAACTCTCCTATATTTCATTGTATAATTTTATAAATCTTTTAGAACATAGTATCAACATCTGAAAAGATAAGGAAGAGGGAAATGGTCATGGAAAAACAAGAGGAATCTTCCCCAAATTCAGAAGGAAGTTCCAACCTCAAATTGGTATAGGAAAGAACACCAATAAATAGATAATAACCGATCCAAAGATCAAACAAAGATGGGTGAAATATACTGAAATTCTATATATTAGGAGTGTCAACATCCAAGATATCTTAGAAACTAATCACATGAACTTGTACTACTAGAATATAAAAAGTGTTGAACTTTGGATAAAACATTTGGTATACCGTGGATAGACAAGAAAAACAAATGGATCATAAAACAAGTCAGCCCAGAATTCACATTAAAAGCACAAATGACTAGGACCAAATTATATTTTGGACCTATTAAAGGAAGACTCAGTTCCCTATAAAAATCTCTTGTGATGGGAAGCTGAAAAGAAAGCGGACAAAGAGCAGCAAGGTGAATAGACACAATGACAATGGTGGTCTATGCTATTTTGAGGACAGATCATCCTGGAGAAGATCATTTATGTAGTTGGTAAGGAACAGTAACGGTGTGCATACATCAAATGATTCTGCAAATTCTGAAAGCATTTTCTGCTCAAGTTATTATGGTAGGTAGTTAACTTGAACTTTTCCAAGGTTTTGTTGCTAGTTAATTAGTAATTGGTAGAAGAGGGTTTTGTTTTCTTTGCATTTTTGTTTGTTTATGCTTCACCCTTCAGATAACATTAACTGAGAACTGACCAATCATTACTTACGCAAACCACAGCAAAGCCTTTTGCGTGTGTGTATGTGTAGATTTGCACTCCCGCCCCCGCAAATGCCAGCACACTACTTTGGAGCGGGGATAAACAGCGCAGAGAAACCAAGAATTGAAGTTGCACAGCGACCCCTACAGGACACGAAGGATATGTGCAAGGAGCTGGACGCTCGAGCTAGGCACGCCAAGTGGGCGGGCCTTGATCAGAACGCGGATGCAGTCGCGAGTCTGCGCAGATCTCCGTTTGTTTGTTTTTTCCCGGAGACGGTAGTTTCAGCCTTGGAACCTGCGGTTTGCAAAAGTGGATCGGGGTCATGGAAAAAGGGAGAGACTCCGACCCAGTGGGGACGTTACTAGCAGCCGCTCGGAAAGTGTACAAAAGGGTTTATGGCGGGGAAGACCCTAAAATTGCAGTGTCGGCGCCCGGAAGGGTAAATTTGATCGGAGAGCACACCGATTACAATCAAGGTTTCGTGCTACCTATGGTAAGGAAGCAATGCCGGGCAGAAAAATCAGATAACTTTCGGCTGTACTTCTTTCTTCCAGTTTTATGGGGATTTTTCAAAGACATCTCGGGGAAAGTCCTTCATGTTGACTTCATCGATGTAGAGGAGGAGAATTAAAAAAGTCGTTTCTGCCATGAAGATGCTAATATTGTTCCTAAATATGGGAATGCCGGTATTTAGAGAGATTTTTTTTTGGTCAGTGGTAGGCAAACCTGCTGAAGATTATCATTGAAGACTTGGCTCATTTCAGAAATATTTCTGATCTCTTCCACGTCCAGCAGAGTTAAGCCTGGTTGGATTGCAAAACGTGGAGTTAAATATTCACTAACTATAAAATAGCAAATGTTAAGCTACTTTTTCCAAGTTATGCTTTCATTACCCTGACATAGTATGAATTCAAAGGCAAATTGTTCCATAAAAAGTTGAATTTTATATCTAAACATTATGGTTTCCTGTTGCAAAATGTTTACTGGATGAAGACATTTCTCTAAAAATTTGGCAAGAAGTAAAATTCCCTGAGTGTGAAAATGCTGTTTTGACAACACCCTAAGATATTCACTGAATATAATTTCTTGAAATAACTCCAAAACATTCATGAGTAGAAACAACATACCTGAATTAACCTGGGACTAGGTTTACACAGCACATTCTATTAAAATATAATTTTATTTTTTATAGTTCTCTACAATATAGTTTGTTATACTATATGTGAAGTGGTTTCTTTTTTTCTCCTGTATTGAATCTGTTTGCATCTACAAACGATTCTTAAGACATTAGAAGTTAAAGGGAAAGCAAAGCTAACTTTTGGAATGCCTATATTAATGTCATGCTAAAACTCCACTCTTAAATCCCAAAATATCTTTGATCTTCATCTTTGCTTCACCATTCTCCCCTAATTAAAATTATTCTTTCTAACGAGGTTCTATTCTTTCTGTCTCTGTGGCCCATAGACTTGGAAGTTCAACCCACTGGATGTATTGAACTATAATGACCGTTGGATAATAAAAATCTCACCCCAATCCTAAAGAAGTACAGATGTTGTAATTGCATATTCCTTCTCTGTTTTTCCATGGGACTTCATTTTAAATTGTAAGCCACTTGTTTCTTTGTATTCTACAAGATATCCTATACAGTGGTGGCAATTTGTGAAAGTATGAATAACAACAGATTCCATCCAGTGTGATGAAAACAGATTTCTATATGTGTGCTGTAAGATTTCTACTACATCTCCAAATTTATTTTCTTACCGTACCATTTTCTGCAGCTCTGATCTGAGGATGTCTGGTGGGTAGAGTAGCTGAATTAATCCAAATGCCTTAGTTCATCAAACACATTGAACCCCAGACTCATCACACTGGTTGAGTTTGCACAATATCAAGCCATAGATTAGCCAGGGGTGATGTGTGAAGTCAGCAATTGTGTATTTTGGGAAACACATCAGTTAATAGGCATACTCAATGTTTCTAAGCTCTATATTGGAGAAATCATTACAAATCAAAAGGCTTTTCTCCATTATAATAATTAACCTTAGTGACCAAAATTAAAAACCTCAGGAAGAGTCATTCTTCTGCTTCTATATCTACACTCCTATTCTTTCTTATTCCTCATCCTCATTTCTATTCATTCCTGGGCTCCTCTGCGTTTCTGTTTCCTAGTATGATTTGATTGCTTATTGTACCATATGACTATCATTAAGTGTTGTATTTTTTTGATTCCTGAAGAATGTATCTTTTATGTATACTGAGAGTATTTGCACCAAGTCCAACCACACTTGGCCAATAAAGAATTCTATTCTATTTATAAGGGAGGAAGAAATGCCATGCAAAAAGTGTTTCTTAGGAACCTTGCCCATCTTTTGTATTTAGTTACACTGGACATGACATATGGTATGCCAGATGTTGCAGAACCACAATCCTTAGCAGTCCCAGTCTGTGGTGGAGGGCACTGAGAGTTGTTCATCAACTACTGGAAAATCAATTGATTTTCCACTGCTACCCTATTCAGTGCTCTCTTTCTTTAGGCCATACAGATGAGAACAGTCGTGGTTGGGAGTCCAAGGGAAGATGGAATAATATCCATAACTACAACTGCAGAGGAAGCGGAAGAGCCTAAAACTGTGCAGTTTTCAGTTCCAAGGGAAGGTGTTTCCTTGAAACCCGGAGAACCTCACTGGGCTAATTATGTAAAAGGGGTTATCCAGCATTACAAAGGTAAGATCCAAAATCAGTCTAAGATTGAGGTTCGGCAGTTGGACCATCTGTAAGAAGGGAGTAAAGAAACATTAGCAGGCAAAGCTGCTGAAGATCCAGTCAAAATTCTTCAGCTTCAACAATCCAGTCGAAATTCTGTCCTTTCCCCAAGTGACTCCCTCACCATTTGGCAGGAATGAGGTGATGAAAGTCTATAATATAACATTATTCAATAGAGGGATTGAAATATTCCTTGTCTCCTCATCCTGAGTAGGGCTTTAGGAAGATTTTCCTACCAAATCTCTCTCAGAATACTAAACTGGTTGCTGTATTAACATTAACTGGGTCCCCATCACCCACAAAGACAAGATAGCAGTGGAACAGGCAATTCCAGCCACTGTCTTTGACCACTTAAAGGATCTTTTTCAAACTCTTGACAGATTTTTAGTTAAATGGGATGCTTTTCAGAATAGTCCATTTAATTACAATTATTTGTGGGGTGTGCCTTGAATTACGTTGTGATGCTCTTCTGTTTCATTATAGCTGGCCCTCTCCCAGGCTTTGATGCTGTGATAGAGAGTAATGTACCAATAGGTGGTGGTCTCTCAAGTTCAGCCTCCTTAGAAGTGGCCATGTACACCTTCCTGCAGCAACTCTCTCCTGGTAAGAATTATACTATGCCTATGATGAAACAGCAGATTATTACTTGCATTCTCCATTAAGCAAGTGAAGTGCTAACTGGATAGGAAGGAAGGAAGGAAGTTATTTTTCCTTCTTTTCCATCACTTTAACTTGCCCCACCATGCCCCACCCATGCCTGTCTTCTTTCAATCCTTCTTTCTTAAAGTCCGTCCTTCCTTCCTTCCTTCCTCCCTCCCTCCCTCCCTCCCTCCCTCCCTCCCTCCTTTCTTTCTGGATTGAAAGAAGAGGCAGTTGATAGTGGGGCAAGTTAAAGTGTTGGAAAAGGAAACAATTGTGAAAGAGAAAAAGAAGCTCTTGTAACAAGCTAATCAATCATTCATTAAATAAAGAAGGTGCATTTTGGTTTTCCTATCTCCTGTGTTTTCCATCAATTCGGGGTAATTGTTACTGTTTTAGCTAACTAATCCAAATTAGAGAGAGAGAGAGAGAGAGAGAGGGAGAGAGAGAATATAAGACTTTATTTCTCAGTCCCTGATCTTAACCTACCAGGAAAAGAACTTAAAAGAACACTTGACCACTTTAGGGTGCCAACAGTGACATTTGAAATATATTTATTTACCCTCAAAATAACTATAGCAAAATATTAGGATAAAGGAACTGGTTTCAACACATCCAGCTTTATTGGGAATTCTGAGACTGAAGATGATCCACCTGGAGAACAGCCATGTTGGGGAAAGTTAGGGGCTGAGGGGCAAAATCCAGATAATGAGATGGAAGTAAATAATGTTTTCTGCCTTTCTTTGCCACAATCAACCAACTAAAGTATCCCTTTAGAAGCCTGGTCTAGGATATTTTTTTCAACCTGAAATTTCTACTCCCTTTTTGTTAGCTAAATGAGACTGAGGTTGGCCACACAGCTGAAGATTTTTTGTAAAGATGTGCTGCAATCCCTGGAAATTCTAAATTTCAAATACTCTGCCAAATTAGAAAGCTGCTGCCACTCAGGGAAGACCACACCAGGCTAGATGGAGAAAGACTAACTTTTATAGGTTCTGGGGTTCTCTTTTTCAAGCACCTGCATGATCACTGTTAAAAACAAAATAGTGAATTAGAATTTACTTAATGGATGACCCTCTAAGGCAGGGCTGCCAAACTCGCCATGTCATGTTGCCATCCTGTGATGTTTCGTGACATTTTTCCCCTTCGGGCTGTGTGTGATGCATCCGGCCCATGGGCTGCCATTTTGACAACCCTGCTCTAAGGCATTAATCATCGTTTACAAAGCACAGTAGCTGAATTCACACAATGTATCAAGGGTTTCTTGGACAGCAACTATCCCTCCTGGGAGGAGGGTTCAAGCAAGGAATCAGGCTGGATTCACTATATAAACACAAGAGGGTGAGGTCTCATCTCTCCTATTGCCTTGGAGCTTTATCTGCTCATTCCCAGATGAGATCGGCCACTCTGGAGAGATTTCTGTGTAATAGGCAGAGAACAATAAAGTTGGAACATAGAACATGATTTTCTTGGCCATACCCATTCTAAAGATCTCAAACCCTTGAAAACAAGCACTAGAAGGCTGAACCTTTTATACACCTGCACATTATGGCTTGCTTTGATATATGAATACCAAAAAAACCTATATTTGGCCCTCTTTCCCTTATATGGAAATAAAGTACTAAATTGTCAATGGATATTCTTCTTCTTTGATACAGATGACAGGGATCCAGTTACTAAGGCACTGGTGTGCCAGAAAGCGGAACACACCTTTGCAATGATGCCTTGTGGTATCATGGACCAATTTATCTCCGTGATGGGGAAGGAAGGACATGCCTTGCTGATAGACTGCAGGTCAGAATGTGGCAATAAGTTGTTCTCTTGTAACTTCTTCCATCTACATCGAGAGATCATGTCCCCACAGATCAGTTATCTCATCTAATTAAGTTAACAATATTCAAAAGAGAAGAAGGATGATGATGCTCTGTTAAAAAAAAAAAACTTCCCGTAAAGTATTTATGGAATAAAATTCTCAAAGGGCATTCAGATAACCCTCTTACCTTAAGCCCTGGGTAAGTTGCTGAGGCTGGGGATGGAGCTGTATACGGTACTGTGTATTCACACTAACTTTCAGTGGTCTGAGTCTGGGCCCATAACCAGTGTTGAGGTATTCCCTGTTAGGAGAATGAGTGCACTCATTTATGTCCTTTAAGTTGACAGTTAATACCCAATGTTTTAATGGATATATGAATATTTTTAGAGAAGATTAGAAATGGTTAGAATGTAATACATACCCCTCATGTACAATTTAGAATTCAGAATGCAGGTTTAAAGTTTAAAGCATTGAATTTTTAAAGTTGTTTTATGTGGACGGTGTACTTTGGTTTATAATGACAGCTCTTTTTGGTATAAATGTATGTATAAATAACTAAACCCAGCAACCACCTCTACTAGGTCCTATAGGATGATTTCGTGTGATCTAGTTATGTCTTCTTGTAATTCAAGGTCCTTGGAAACTCGCCTGGTCCCTTTGACTGACCCAGACTTAGTTGTTCTCATCATCAACTCCAATGTACGACATACTTTGACAGGCAGCGAGTATCCCACACGTCGGCGTCAGTGCGAAGAGGCAGCCAAGATGCTGGGAAAGGCAAGCCTGAGAGAAGCCAGCATGTCAGACTTAGAGGGTAAACATTATTTGGGAAAAGGGGTGGGTGGGGGTGCATGTCAGCCTCCATCCTTCAGAACACCTGAAGTTTTGTACAGCTGTTATAGAGCAAGGGGAGATGGAAAGGAGAGGGGCAATTGACATATCGGGCATGCATGTAGATCTCGTATAGCACAATTTGGACTGATAACTCGGTCATTAAACAAAGCAATTGCTAAAAGAAACAGTGTGATTGGCTTATGATCTTACTTCAGCTTGCCTTTGCTTTACAGATCAGGAAAAGTCATAAATGTTAGCATATTTTAAAGTTACTTTTTCATGACTGTTGTTAACTGCAAACTGTCATTGAACAAAGCAGTTGCTAAAGGAGGATTATTACCTTTACTATCATACAGGAGGGGACAGAAAGCATATGGGAAGCTCAAAACTTTCCATTTGAAGATCATTTTTAACCTTTGAGCCCTGATTGAATCTTGTTTCATTTTGTTTTTTTCTCTCTCTCTTTCTCCAGAGTCCAGGAGCCTCCTGAGTAAGGAGATGTACAGGCGAGCCAGGCATGTGATCGGAGAGATTGAACGCACATCTAGGGCAGCCGAGGCCCTGGAGGCCAAGGATTATAAGAGGTTTGGAGAACTAATGGTAGAGAGCCACAATTCCTTACGGTAAGGCCACAGTCTGAAGCTGATATACAGTCTAGGTCAGTGATGGCTAACCTTTTCAGCACCGAGTCCCCAAAGCGTGCACGTGCATCCCCAAAGGCAATGCACATGCATCCCCCACACATACGGTGCCCCCCGCGCATGCATGCTTATCCTCCACGCAAGTGCCCTGCCCGCACACATGTGTGCGAGACCCGCACATGCATTGCATGTCCCCGCATGTTAGGAATCTGTCCACCAGTTAGTTGGGTTGGCAATATATAAGCCAACAAAGTATGTTTGTAGCTTTAAGACAAAATCACTGTATTGATTTATACTATATTCTGATTGGTTGATTATATTGCAAATTACCATAAGAGGGAGCTAGAGATCATAGCTTGCTCTCTCTGACATTCTGTCTCTCTGACATTCTGTTGCTATCTAAGGTTCTCTGTTGTATTTTGCTGTGCTTATACTTTGATATTTTTGTTTACTGTAAATGACAAAGGCAACTGGTAAGAAGACTTTGTGATTGGATATTCTTTGGACTGTTAAACCTGGACCATTTATTGGACTGTGCTATTTCTTAAAGTAAACTTTAACTCAATTTAGTGTATCTGTGTGTGGTTGGATAATTATTCATAACTACTCTCATAAACATTTCCATGTGCATATCCTTGTTACTCAAGGGTTATTTTGTACATATCATAACACCGTGCATGAGTGTTCATTCCCACACGTGTGCCCCACCCCCCTGTGCATGCTCGGCAGAGACCCAAAGACCAGCTGGCTGGTAGGAGGCACACGCATATGCATGGCGGAGCTGAGAGACGGGTCTTTGTACCACCTCTGACACATGTGCCATAGGTTTGGCACCACAGGTCTAGGTTATTCCTTTTGTATTTATTTTTAATTAACATTTTTAGAATCAAAGGACCATTTTTGAAATTTCCACGTAAAGATTTCCCTGTATGTATATGTAGATTGGATGTACAACGAAGCTATTTACTGCAGAAGATCAGCACAACTTACAGGTAGTTCTCGACTTACAACAGTTCACTTAGTAACCGTTCAAAATTACAACGGCACTGAAAAAAAGTGATTTATGACCCCTTTTCACACTTATGGCCATTGTAGCATCCCCATGGTCACATGATTTACATTTGGATGCTTGACAACTGACTCACTTTTATGACGGTTGCTATGTCCCGGGGTCCTGTGATCCCCATTTGCAACTTTCTGACAAGCAAAGTCAATGGGAAAACCAGATTCACTTAACCATGTTACTAACTTAACAACTGCAGTGATTCACTTAAGTGTGGCAAGAAAAGTCATAAAATCAAAATTCATTTATCAAATGTATCACTTAGCAACATAAATTTTGGCCTCAATTGTGGTCATAAGTTGAGGACAACTTGTACATCTATAGCATCTCTTTGGTTTCACAGAATTAAGAACGCCTTAATGTAGACCTGCTACTTTTCATTCCTTTTATATTCCAAATTACTGTTTTTTGTGTATCGCCAGATGGACCCATAAACACAATCTGTCATGCCTTTGGCCAGAAAAGACACATTTTTAAATAAGATAGAGAAAGTGTGAGCTAAATTATCAGCCTTAATCATATTTATTCCATATGGGGCATTTCTTCCTAAGTGTAAATGAAGTCAGTTTGGCGTATCACATTCTTTTCCATATCCCTTCAACAAAGATTTACACGCAGTGTAATGACATAGAATAGGGGTCCCCAACCTGTGACCTAATCTCCACCAGGCTGTGTGAGTAGCCAGTGTGCGCGCATGGCCCCACCTGCATGAGAGTCGCTGCGAGCATCACAGGCGATCGTGGTCCGACTCACACAAATGCCGTTGCAAGTGGTCATGGCCCCACTTGTGCTGGGTGGTTGCAGTCCCACTTGTGCAAGCCTTGTGGGCACTTGATGTCCCACTCATGGGAGCATCACTGCAAACATTGCACACGCTTGTGCACGTGCACGCACATGCACGCGCCCCTCCCACAAAATCATTCCCTCCGCTCCCTGTCCTCCCACTCCAGGCCACCAACTCTGAAAGGTTGGGCAATTCTGACATAGAATTTATGCATTGCAAGTGATATACTTTAATGCAGGGGTGGGCAATTAATTGCCCCAAGAGGCTACATGAGAAATTGAGACTGTTGGGGAGAACTGAACTATTAGGGGGTGTGATGCACAAAGGTAAACTGAAAAAAAAATAGCAGCAACCTTCAAAATAAAAGCAATCTGTTGTATTGTGTGCATAGTGTACACTTATTTACATTTGATTTCTAATGTCTGATTGACCTCATGCGGGCCGGATGGAAACAGCCAAAGAGCTGAAGGTGTCTCAAGGCTGTAAAATGCCCAGGTCTGCTTTATTGTATCCCAAGATGAAAATTAAGTACATCTGTAGTACCATCCTATGTCTATTGATTGGTTCTACTCTTAAGTCCTAACCATTTCCCACCTTCCCCCTTTATGGGTAGCTTCCTTCCTTCCATATAGTAATTGACAATTAGTGTTTTTTTTCCCTCATTTTTGTTTAAAAATCACTTATTTTTCCTCCCTTCAGGGATGACTATGAAGTTAGTTGTCCAGAACTAGATGAACTGGTAGCTGCTGCCATGGAAATTCCTGGAGTTTATGGTAGCAGAATGACTGGTGGCGGTTTTGGAGGTTGCACTGTCACTCTTCTTGAATCTGGAGCCGCAGAAAAAGTTCTGAAACATATCAAGGTATGTGGTTGATCGGGCTGCAAGAGTGGATTTGCTGGTACAGTTCTCTCATTTACAGAAGAGGCAAGCAGAACATCATTTTAACATCAGCTTTTTCTTCTTGGATCCTATGCTTAGTTCTTCTAGATAAAATTCTGATATGTTTATCAATAAATTTCATTCGTGAATCCAGACCTATTTTTCTTCCTGGCTGTCTTTGGTGGTCTAATTCATCACTGTAAATCTAAGAACAGTTTTAAAGATCTGAAGTCATTCCTTGAAACGAAATCCTAACTCTAACCCTAACCCTGCCTCTCTGAGCCATAACTTGCCCCTAGTGTATTGGCCTATGTGCCTGCTTATTCCTGAGATGATCCCAGCAGCAAGAAACAGACTTCAAGCATATCCTTCTGGATCCTGAATTCCTAACATCGTCCTTTTCTCCTCTGCCTGTCTCCAGCCACAGATGATAATATTCCACTGCTACACCCTCCACCTATCTCCTTTTCTCTCTCAAGTTCTGCTTTACCATGCACCATGTTCTCACACATCAACATGAAGAAAAATACTCAATCTTGGATTCTCTCCTCCCGCCCCCGCCTTCCCGGTTACTCCCCATTGCAAACCACATTTGTCCAGGACTATCGTATTTCAGTCCATACTGGAATGAAACACCCTAATTTTGTTCTGTAAATAGGCCAAAACTGCATACATAAAATGGTCCACACATGGAATATTTTTTTAGATCCCTACCATAATGACATTAATTGCAAAGGGAAGCATTTGTATGTCTTTAGAGCAGGGGTGTTCCCATTCAACTGCTATAAGACTTGTGGACTTCAGCTCCAAGAATTCTTCCTGCAGTCATGTTAGCTCAGGGATTCTGGGAGTTGAAGTCCACAAGCCTTAAAGCTGTCAAGTTTGAAGACCCTTGCTTTAGAGGAATGAAGTACAGTAGAAAGCGCCTGTGTGAGAGAAAGAAAGATTTTAACAGTATTTAGCATGGGTAGATGAATTTAGTTCTGAGGAGAAAAGCCTGTGCTGGGGAGCATAGAAATTGTCTTGGTCTACCTGCTACTTATCTTCCCACCGTTTCCTTGTTAAGAGCTGTTTCTTTCTGTTGCTATTAGAACTGCTGTTGTTTGAATAAAAAGGCTTCCATCCAGACACAGGCAATCTGCCTCCTTCTGGGTGTTTGAATTTCTTGACTTTGGCAGTTTTGCCTACAGCAGATAGAAGACCAGAACATTTGGAAGAACATTTGCCCATTCCTGGCTTAAATGTACATTATCAGCACATGTTTTCTGTTGCTAAATTTGCTGTTTGGGCAAACTCAAACGCTTGCTGATAATGTCTTCAGGTATTTTTTTCCCCCCTCCTTTCAATTGTGTCCGATTATTGGAAATTGCTTGAATAAGTCTTTGCAATTTTCTTGGCGTGGTTTGTCCTTGTCTGCTTCCTGCGTCTGAAAGTGAGTAACTGCCCAAGGTCAGTCAGCTGGCATTGTGCCTAAGGCAGTATTGGAACTTACAGTTTCCCACTTTCTAGCCTGATGCCTTGCCCACTACACCAGAATGGTTCTTGTCTTTGGCTTACCTCTTAATAATTGCCCTCCATCTGATATACAGCGACCTGATAGGCCCCACGTCAGATTTCCACACTTGTGACATTTTTCTCCTGATGTACTTTGTGTCCCTTCAGAGAATTGTATATCATGGTTTTTTGCTTTTATCGATTAGGAGAAATACAGCAGGACAGTGACATTCTATTTCACAAAACCCGCTGATGGATCTAAAGCACACCTCCTGTCTTGAAAACTCTTCCAGCTGGTCTGTAGGATTCACTAAGAAAAGTGATAAGAAAAGCATGACGCTTTGGGACAGCTTCCCGGGACATTATTCGCTTGGAGCAAAGATTTGACTTCTTCCATAAAAGAAGTAAAGTAAGTGAAAACCTGCATGTGCACACAAGTGTTTTTTTCTTTTAGCCAAGAGCCCCAAAAGGATTTTTGTCTGATTTATAAGACCGTTTGGGGCAGAAGATTTCTTTTTCAGTGAAACACTGCGATGAGTTTGGTTAAACGCTGTTGATTTTTGTATACAGTTTTCTGTGATACGTTCCTTCAACAACCTGGATGGAAATACTGAGGCTGAGAAAGTCTGGCGTAAACTCCACAACTCCAAAACAATTCCTTTTTATTTTCCCAAGCCGAGACTAATCGTGGAAATAGGCTTTCTGCTTTACATTGTGTTCTAAATATTGCTTCTATCCTTTCTTTCCTGCTTATCCATTTATGAGCCATCTCCCAGTCATGAATTATCCACTAAACATATCTTGAATAGAGCCACTTTGTGATGAGTTTTGCGTTTGATATTATCATTAGTTACTGTCAAGGATGGGCTAATGCGAGATAATACCCTCAACCCATATAATTGGTATAGCTAGGTGTTGTGGTAGTGACAACTGTAGTCAGTTACACTGAAGTCAAAATAAAAGCATCATAATATCTATGAGGTAAAATGATTGTAATGCAAAGATGTAAGATGTGTTGTTTGTATGATGTGATGATTCATTTATCATTTGTCTCTCCTCTCTCTGCCCCAACGCTGATCCAGTGGACATACATGATCTAAATTAAAGAAAATTTACAGTAATGATAGCTTTTCTGTCAACTTTCAAAACGACTTCAGCTGAAGCCATATTTCCTTTTCTTCATTTCTTACATGCCACATATATGGGAGGGGAGGGGGATCTACAGGATGTGGGATATTTTCCTCCATTGTGGCCAGACATAACAGCAATAAGATCCATGTGAATGTGAACCAAGGTCATCTCAGCGAGCGCCTGAGGGAGCAGCCGAACAGCCTGCCATCTACCTGATTGGTTAAGGTGACCTGTGACATAAAGGGGGAGAGGATTGATGTCTATTCTTTCTTCTGGGTTTTATTTAAAGTTGGTTTCACATTTCAATGTGCCGATATGATGTGCCCAATAAAATGGATCTTTGAGAAAAGCTACAGCTTCAGAATCCTGACTTGATTGGGACCCTTACTCGCAACCATGACACTTTCTTTCTATAAAATGAATGATTGTCACCTTAAAGTAATTGGCTGTGTTCCCTTGTATGAAACCTTCATGTGGTTAATTGATTTTCATTTTACTGTGATTGTGATCCAGCCGTGATTTGTAAGCTCAGTTTATTGTACCAGTGTTATGCATAAACAAAATGTCTTAATAAACCAGGGTTAAACATGTCATGGATTAGTAATGTGTAAACCAGCCAATACTTGTTTAACATCAACTGTTCACTAGCCAGATTTTAAATTATCGTGTGCCTAGCCTGAGTAAAGCTTAGTGTTTTGTGCAGCCATTATATCCCAACAGTACTATCCCAACTGTATGTTTTGCAGTGGCAACGGTTACATTAAAAATTAGCTTCAGCAGGGCACTCAGATGTATTCACAAAAGGTATTCAGTTATTCTTCACATGTATCTCAGCTGCTAAACACAGATGCAAACTTAACTTTTCCCATACAATATTTTTAAAGACAGATCACATTGCTATAGATGCTAATCTTTAAGGCTAATCTTGGCAACTTTATATCCTTTTAACTTTGGTCGTTGGATTATTTTAGTAACATCTTCAGGTAGAAGTTATAGATTTTGCTTTTATTGCCTAATCCTATTGAGGTTTAGGTTTGTACAAGATCTGCATTGTTGCCCTCATTAGCAGTCAAGCTGGTTTTTTTTTACACATAGCATATTTGAAAATTAAAAAAAAATAGCTGCGATCATAGAGAAAATGTTTATTAAGTGCAATAAAAAGCCATCTGGTCCAAAGCACCATCTGTTAGATCTCTGAAATACTGAAACTGCATATGTACTTAATTCCATCATCATTTGCAAGCCATAATAATCTACAAACATGTAATTTACATTATAATGTATTTTTCATTATACAACAGTGAAAGCATAGAATGCTTTTTGAAACTTCTGTTTAGAATGACCGTGCTCAGGGGTGGGATTCTACCAGTTTGCACCTATTTCGTAGAACTGGTTGTTAACTTTCTAAGCAGTTCAGAGAACCGGTTGTTAGAAGAAATTACTGGCCTAATCCTGTAAGGAAGGCAGTAAAGAAACATTCTGGTGTTGCTTGCAGAAACTGCCTCTCCGTTAACCCTTATTACATTCTTGGCAGGACTAGACTTCCTGTCTCAGGAACTTCTCTGGAGTTTTTTTCCTCCTTTGCTGATACTTTGCTTGTGTGGAGTGACCATTCAAAGTTACAATGGCACTGAAAAAAGTGACTTATGACCCTTTTTCACGCTTACAACTATTGCAGCATCCCCACAGTCACGAGAGGCCATGCGAGGAGATGCGTGCCTCAATGTGAGTGATGTTGAGTTGGCCACGCCCAGCCAGTAACATGACCACCAAGCCACGCCCAATAACTAAGCCACGCCCACAGAACTGGTTGTTAAACATTTGAATCCCACCCCTGACCGTGTTACTAAAATATGGCCACTAGATACCTCCATGACTCTTTGGCTTATACCAAGATGTGTGGTTCTTATTCTGAGGGAAAAGTTTAATAATCGGTAATAAAGAGTTTGCAAGAAACAGGAAATCGTTATCAGAAAAAGAAATGGGAAGCTCTGAAGATAAAAGTTAATGCAGCTTCTCCTAGGAAGAAATGATTTGGAACTTTCTTACAAAGGATCCAGGAAATCATTCATTTTCTTGAATACTAAAGAAATCTTGCCCGTTTGAAAGATAGTCCGGGAACTTTAACAATTTCATATCTTACGAATGATTCACAGCACCGAATATAAGAATCCAAGAGCTCCATTTTGAATGAATGGGCCCTGCTGCATTACTCTTCCTAGTGGCATTGATCAAATGTTCAGTTTCAAGAAATGTTATGTCCATCTGTTCTGAGAACCACCCACAACTACGGGGCACTTCAAGTCATGTGGGATGCAGGATAAGCCAACTAGCATTACCCATACCTTATGTGATGATAGGCACTGATGAATAAACTTGTCATTTAGATTAGAGGTCTCCAATCATGTCAAATTTAAGACTTGTGGACTTCAGTTCCCAGAATTCCTCAGCTGGCATAGAGTTGAAGTCCACCAAGTCAATAAGCTTTGAGAACCCTGATTTAGATAGATAACATGCCACATAATTGCATCCTGACCTCACCAAAGAATTCAGTTTCAGTTTGTTTCCAAATGAGCCTTAGGATTACTTCCCAAAAAACACTGTGACACAATGCTATCATTGTCAATTTACTAGTTTGTATGTGGTTGGGGAAAAAAAGACCAAACAGGTAGTAGGAAAATGTATGGGAAACAATGACATTGGGACTATGACCAAGGGCTATTGTAATTGTACCATAAGAGCCTCATCTGAAAGTAAGTAAATTGTTGACTAAAAGTATATTTATTTATTTTTACTTATTTTTATTTTGAGGGCTTCCTCTTAAAGATATTGTCCATGACACAATACCAAATATTTGACATTGAAGTTGGAAAGATACATTAATTGGCCCCATGTTGTATCAGGGATTCTTTGGAAAAGGATTTACAGGTAGTACTTGTTTAGCAATCATGACCCTGGACCAGCACCTCAGGTTCTTAACAGTCACTAAGTGAAACTGTGCTTGTGTTTATACTCTTGCTTCAACTGTCTTTTGCTTTATCTTTATCTGCAAAGGTCATAAATACAAGGATTAGTCATAGAGTTAGTTTTTTATTATGGTTGTAACAGCAAACGGCTGCTGAACAAACAGTCACTAAACGAGGACTACCTGTATATATTTTAGCAACCTTATACCATAGAATAGGCAACAGTATTTTTTTTGTTAATCTGTTAATGAATTCCTATACTGCACAGCATGCGATTTTATAACCTACTACTTTCCAACAATTGGATTAACTCCCCTGCATTGCAAGGAATGTGTATGACAAACAGGATGTTATCATGCTCAGAAGAAGAAAAACTGAGGGTGGCCTTTAACATCGACAAAGAGGAAGTTAAAATAGGCAAAGTGAAAAAGGATGGTCTGAGGTAAGGATTTCAAACCAAATCCAGAGCAGAAAAGCAAGATACTCATGAGCTGGGCTCAGAGTAGAACTAGCCAAGAGAGTTTCATAATCAAGTGTTCTGTTAAAAGCTCCTTTCACGAGATGCTAGTTTTACCAGCTAGGCTGTGTGCAGATACCACCTGGTGGCGTTTCAAAAGCAATGGCCAGCGAGTGACTTTTAGGGTTAATGGAGCACAGAGGTTGCCATCCGCTCCCATCTGAAGGATGGCCACAGAACACCTTGTGGAAACGCAAGTGTCTTTGGGGGCAGTTTCCTTGTGCGCTTAAGCTTCATAGAATTGTCTCTCTGTCTGTCTGGAGAATGTCCCACTATTGCTGGACATGGTGCTGGTGATGTATTCTTTGGTGATCTGTTTGGTAAGGGTGCCACCACTCTCCACTCGCTGGGTAGTCATCAGCATCCCATCTGAAACGAGGGGACAGAATAAAAATAGCAAAAAAACAAACAAACAGCCCCCCCCCCCGTTTGTTAGATTTGCAATTCATTCTTAAAGTATAAAACTGGCTGTTTAGGTTTTGTTGAGTATGGGGTGTAACCCCAAATATATTCTGATTTATACAAGTGCATTTTGCGAACCCAGCTAATTGTTTTATTAACTAAATTAATTGAGACGTTAAGTGCATTCAATCTGTGTATGCGCACAAACACGTAGCCATACGTATGTGAAAGCTTAACATAGTTTATTTTTTGTTTTGTAATCCTGAAGCATTGCTTTTATGACTTCTGCCCCTGCACTTGGTTGCGTTTAGAAACACCCTAGAGACGTTTATCTGATACCCCTAGACCTGTTCAGGGACTCAGGAAAGAGCCAAGCCCGCTTAGAGGTAGTAAATATCCCAGCCCTTCCTGAAGTCACACTTCTGATATCATCTAAAAGACAGACCTCTTCATATCCTGTGAAATCATCCATAACCTAAAAGCTTTGCAATTACATATAAAGCAACACAGACGTCTTATCTTAAAAGATCTCACGGGTGCACCTGCAGGCACTCAGCACAGTTTGTGTGAGGAATATAATACTTTCCAAAGTTCCTGAATAAAGTTGGGATGCTGGTCCTAATGTGCTTTAAGCAGAAGCAGAATTCTCTTTTGGCCTCCATTTAATTTTTGTACACACAAAAAAGCAGTTCTTTAACTTAGAAATGACTGCTCTGGTATGGTTCCTGGCCTTAGCAGTGATAGGAGAGTTTCCTAATACTATGAAAAAAATATAGTACTATTCAGTAAAGCTATGTACGAAAAAGGCCTGTTCTGCCATCTTTCTAGAGGGAAATTTTTCTTACTTTTTCTTGAAGTGGAATGGAAGACAAGGAAAGCAGTATAAAGGCCCACATTCCCTTAACATTAGCATCAACATAACTTCAGGAGTAGACTGGATTCCTTTCATTCTCGTTTAACTATTTCTGAATAAAGATTATGAATCCCAGATACTCTTCATTAATATTGTCCCAAAGATCTCAGCCAGGTTATTAAAAAGCAAGGCAATCCCCATTTCCATCATTCATTCCCTTTTTTACCTGCGTATAAAGGATCCAGTAGGGAGTGAGTGATGCTCGTTTGGGTGTTGTATTCTGTAGGGAGATTGAAGACTTCCTCCCTGGTGAATTGATGTGTTCCATATTGAGAGAATACTCCTAAAGCAGAAAAGATGGGTGGGTAGAAATGTAATTCAGTGCTTGGATATCTAATTCTCATACCATCTAATATTATGTTTTTAAAAAATGACTCTGAGAAGAAATGCAAGAAGGCAGTGTCTAAAGCAAAACATTTGTTTTCACATATCCATGATGCAAAGCTCTATTCTGTTACTTTTATTTCTGGCTAATCTTCCTAAATCTTCAATTCATTTATTATTTATCATTTATCATCTGTCTCCCTTTGAATTAAAATGGGATGAGAACAGCTTCAAAAGCAGAAACTTGTAAAAATCATTTGCATCGCCTTGAAGATCAATTTTCTACTCCCTAAGAAAAAAGCATTACTTTTAAGAGTATTTAAAATGTCCATGCATGCATCGTATTAAGGAAAAACTGATACGCCATTCAAGCTGTCTGCTCCCATATATTACACTTGTACAAATTGGATAATGAAGACCCAACTTTAACACATCCATGTTACCCTAACTTGGGGGTTTCGATGCCTTACTCACTGTTCTTTAAGAACACATTCATATGTGCTTTTTTATTTCAAAAGACTTATACAGCTGCTTATATTGTAACAGTACCTCTGGATAGTTCAGAAAACATTAAAAACAAGCAGAAAACAAAGTCAATGAAAATTTCAAAAACCCATGGAATCCTGGGACCAAAATTTCGCCTACATCTAAGTATCATCGTACTGGAATTCCAGCCTCATCCTATCCAATGCTTGTAGGAAGAGCCAACATTTCCAGACCTTCTAGAAGGTAAGGAGTATGAACAGACTGCCAGATCTCTGGGAGAAGGGTGTTTCACAGCACATGGGCAGATGCAAGAAGGCATACTTCATAGGCCCCACAAAAGAACAACATTTAAGGAAAGCAGCCTGATGTGTGCTCTCATCTATCCTCATCTCCAGCCCAAAGTTAAGACCATTGAAATTTGGGTTTTTCACATCTAATTGGAATGTTTTGTATCTTCTCTGGAAACCAGCTTTGTTACAAGTGCAATCTTCAGAATTTCAGAGATGACTGTGATGACTTAGCACAGCTTGAGATCTGCTCA